CAACACACACACACACACACATATATATATATATATATGTTGTATGTATATATATATATATACATACAACACACACACACACACACACACACACACACACACACATATATATATATACTGTACGGATTCCAGTACTAAACTCGTAGAATATGGGGCTCTACCTTTGTACACTTGCGACACGCTTATGCAAACTCGCTTGCCACTACAGAGCACGGTGTTTATAGAAGAAGGCAGTTTTTTGTGCATCAGTGCACGTAACGCGTAGTCTAAGCCACCGAATTGGCTTGTATAGCCACCGAATTGGCTTAAATAGCCGCCGAATTGGCAAATATTTTACGGAGCCAAACCTTTCGAAAAGTGCCGATGGGACTATTTTTATTGCTGCTCCCTGTGGCTCATGAGCAGACAGAAGGGGTGCTTTATTGCAACACAGACTGACAAGCTACGCCTGAATCTTCAAACATAGTCAATGATAGGCCATATATGTGTCTTTTGCGAAACACTAAAGCCGTCAAGTGTGCCTGATTCATGATGGCAGATACATGATAGCAGATACAGATACATCCTGGTAGCAGGCAAACCGATAGTGGCGATATTAAACCAGTGTGTACCATCTCTTTCACGGTTTTCCCTTTTTCATTCTCAGACCTGTATTCATGATTCATATTCAGCACTTGTGTATTCCCCGCAGCATTCAAAACCATTCGTATCACCCTTTTCTTGGTACAGAACATCACTACGAACGCCTCCCGACAACCCTCGCCGAGGATAAAGAACAGATGGCAGCCAATAAGGCGAAGGCTAGAAAGCCAGCCACACCCCTCACCCAAGACGAGAAGGAAAGTGCTGAGAAACAAGACACCGTGCCATCGGAGCGGTCGGAAACGGCAGCGGTGCAGGCATAAGGGGTGTACTGGATCATCGTCCGTATACTTCGCATGTGGTAAATACGGGGGATGCTGGAGTCTAGCTCAGCTCAGCTCAGCGGGCAACAAGTGCCGGTTGTCCGTCTGTGCTTGAAGCATTTAGGAGTTTGTGGCGAATAAAGGAATCCCTTCATTGTACGGCATGGTTGCATAGTTAACTTTAAATTAGATATTGCATTGCATGATAACTGCTACGTTGTCGCAACACTTTCTAAACTGGATACATCTACTGTCTGTATGATACTATGACTGAAGCAAGGGAGCGTATGTATGCGGCACGCGAAGTATGTATTTCTCAGTCGTGCCATAGGCATTTCGCACACACGGTACAGTGACCAAGGGCACACGTGCTTAGTAGATAGATAGCGCAACAGGGCATCTACTGCATACAGGAAAGTTGTGCGGTGTCAGATCTGAAGATGTTGGCAAATGGTGATCTCATACAGGAACTATATTTGAGCGGTGGTCGATTAGCGCATGCAGCAGTCGGAAAGCGTTCTGTGTTCCCACATCATGTGACCATATCTGAACTTCGCAATGCCAGTGATGGCTTGTGACAGTTGGAATGAAGGAAGGTCTGAACTCCTGAAGTTACAACACATTCGATTGATAGACAGAAGCTGATTGCTATATATATATAT